TTTGGCTGGCGTCACCATGACGTTTGCGTCACCGAATTTCGCAAAACAGCGCAGCCGACATCGACACCGCTATGATCCCCGCCGCGAAACAGCGCCGATGTTGATCCGGCCGTTTAATAAAAACAGCATAACAAGAAAAATTTCATAACGAGAAATAATTGACATTTGTCAAATTTTTACAAAAACGCTGCGCATCGCACCCCCCCCGCTCCAGATCCGTGCTTTCGTATTCATGTCTAACCGGCGGGTTAATACAAAACAAGCATAAAACTAAGAAAAACAAAATAACAAGATAAATAAAATTACATATTTAAATAAGACAACGTACGCTGCTCATCACACCCCGCGCTCCCCATCCGCGCTCTCCCATCTCGTATTTTGATCGCGCTTTTATCCAAGACGCTTCAACAAGGGTCACGAGTGGTACAATGAGGGTAGATATAAAGGGATACGGTGAATAGGGAGTAAGTGGGGGAGCGAGTGAGTGAGCTTGCGAGTGAGTGGGTGAGCGAGTGGGTGAGTGGGTGAGCGAGTGGGTGAGTGAGTGGGTGAGTGAGTGGGTGAGCGAGTGGGTGAGCTAGTGAGTGTGTGGGTGAACTAGTGAGTGAGTGGGTGAGCGAGCGGGTGAGCTAGTGAGTGAGTGAGCTAGTGAGTGGGTGAGCTAGTGAGTGAGTGGGTGAGCGAGTGAGTGAGCTTGCGAGTGAGTGGGTGAGCGAGTGGGTGAGCGAGTGGGTGAGCTAGTGAGTGGGTGAGCTAGTGAGTGGGTGAGTGAGTGGGTGAGCGAGTGGGTGAGCTAGTGAGTGAGTGGGTGAGCGAGTGGGTGAGCTAGTGAGTGAGCTAGTGAGTGTGTGGGTGAGTGAGTGGGTGAGTGAGTGGGTGAGCTAGTGAGTGTGTGGATGAGCGAGTGGGTGAGTGAGTGGGTGAGCTAGTGAGTGTGTGGGTGAGCGAGTGGGTGAATGAGTGGGTGAGCTAGTGAGTGAGTGGGTGAGCTAGTGAGTGAGTGGGTGAGCGAGTGGGTGAGCTTGCGAGTGAGTGAGTGAGCGAGTGGGTGAGTGAGTGGGTGAGCTTGCGAGCGAGTGGGTGAGCTAGTGAGTGAGCTAGTGAGTGAGTGAGTGGGTGAACGAGTGGGTGAGCTAGTGAGTGAGTGGGTGAACTAGTGAGTGAGTGGGTGGGTGAGCGAGTGGGTGGGCGAGTGGGTGAGTGGGTGGGTGAGCTAGTGAGTGGGTGAGCGAGTGGGTGAGTGGGTGAGCGAGTGGGTGAGCTAGTGAGTGAGTGGGTGAGCTAGTGAGTGAGTGGGTGAGCTAGTGAGTGAGTGGGTGAGCGAGTGGGTGAGCTTGCGAGTGAGTGAGTGGGTGAGCGAGTGGGTGAGCTAGTGAGTGAGTGGGTGAGCGAGTGGGTGAGCTAGTGAGTGAGTGGGTGAGCGAGTGGGTGAGTGGGTAGTGTACCGGTTAGCGCGCTGCGTAACAAACCCGGCGACCCGAGTTCGATTACCGTTCACAGTCAACACCAGTTACGATTAATTGAACGGTCCTGGGCCTCCCCTAGGTCGACTTGGCCTCAAATTAGTATACTGGTACATTGTGTAGTAAACATCACCACTGGGGAGACAAAGGCGGTCGGGCGTGGTGCTGTCCACCCACCCCCTCGTGTGCCATGCCGGCCTTCATAGGTGCTCGCTAACAGCACTTTCCCCAACAGTCTAGTCAGGCTATACGGGGAATCTTTGTCTTTGTCTGAGTGAGAGAGTGGGTGGGTGAGTGGGTCAGTGTGTTGTGACCTGCATTGTCGTGGTTAAACAAGAGTATGGATGAGATGTAATACAGTCATAAAAATTCAGACTTATAGCACCCGATATTCAGGGCTCACAGAGCGCTGTGCAAAATGATCATAAATGATCGGAGTGAGCATAAAAGTCTTGCGTTATCAACGTGATGATAAAATGTAAGGCAAGACGATACAGTCAGTCTGCAAGGCTCGGGCTGCGACATAGAGACCCATAGACTTAACATAGAGACCCATAGACTTAACACAGAGACCCATAGACTTTACACAGAGACCCATAGACTTTACACAGAGACCCATAGACTTTACACAGAGACCCATAGACTTTACACAGAGACCCATAGACTTTACACTGAGACCCATAGACTTTACACAGAGACCCATAGACTTTACACAGAGAGACCCAAAGACTTTACACTGAGACCCATAGACTTTACACAGAGACCCATAGACTTTACACTGAGAACCATAGACTTTACACAGAGACCCATAGACTTTACAGAGAAACCCATAGACTTTACACAGAAACCCATAGACTTTACACAGAGACCCATAGACTTTACACCGAGACCCATAGACTTTACACAGAGACCCATAGACTTTACACAGAGACCCATAGACTTTACACTGAGACCCATAGACTTGACACTGAGACCCAAAGACTTTACACTGAGACCCATAGACTTTACACTGAGACCCATAGACTTGACACTGAGACCCATAGACTTTACACCGAGACCCATAGACTTTACACAGAGACCCATAGACTTTACACTGAGACCCATAGACTTTACACAGAGACCCATAGACTTTACACCGAGACCCATAGACTTGACACTGAGACCCAAAGACTTTACACTGAGACCCATAGACTTTACACAGAGACCCATACACTTTACACAGAGACCCATAGACTTTACACTGAGACCCATAGACTTTACACTGAGACCCATAGACTTTACACTGAGACCCATAGATTGTACACAGAGACCCATAGACTTTACACCGAGACCCATAGACTTTACACAGAGACCCATAGACTTTACACTGAGACCCATAGACTTTACACTGAGACCCATAGACTTTACACCGAGAACCATAGACTTTACACCGAGACCCATAGACTTTACACAGAGACCCATAGACTTCACACCGAGACCCATAGACTTTACACAGAGACCCATAGACTTTACACAGAGACCCATAGACTTTACACTGAGACCCATAGACTTTACACAAGAGACCCATAGACTTTACACTGAGACCCATAGACTTTACACAGAGACCCATAGACTTTACACAGAGACCCATAGACTTTACACTGAGACCCATAGACTTTACACTGAGACCCATAGACTTTACACTGAGACCCATAGATTTTACACTCAGACCCATAGACTTTACACTGAGACCCATAGACTTTACACAGAGACCCAAAGACTTTACACTGAGACCCATAGACTTTACACAGAGACCCATAGACTTTACACTGAGAACCATAGACTTTACACAGAGACCCATAGACTTTACACAGAGACCCATAGACTTTACACCGAGACCCATAGACTTTACACAGAGACCCATAGACTTTACACAGAAACCCATAGACTTTACACAGAGACCCATAGGCTTGACACTGAGACCCATAGACTTTACACAGAAACCCATAGACTTTACACCGAGACCCATAGACTTTACACAGAGAACCATAGACTTTACACAGAGACCCATAGACTTTACACAGAGACCCATAGACTTTACACAGAGACCCATAGACTTTACACTGAGACCCATAGACTTGACACTGAGACCCAAAGACTTTACACTGAGACCCATAGACTTTACACTGAGACCCATAGACTTTACACTGAGACCCATAGACTTTACACTGAGACCCATAGACTTTACACAGAGACCCATAGACTTTACACAGAGACCCATAGACTTTACACTGAGACCCATAGACTTTACACTGAGACCCATAGACTTTACACTGAGACCCATAGATTTTACACTCAGACCCATAGACTTTACACTGAGACCCATAGACTTTACACAGAGA